TGTCAATCTTTGATACACTCTTTGTCTGTTGTAATGATTAGCACATAGTTGTACATAGTACTCAATTTTATGAAATGAGATTAAAGAACATAGTTTATAGTTTTTAGTTATTCAAGCTAGCATCCCAAACAAACCCTGCCACTTTTACTATTTACTTTAAAATGCTGGTCCAATTTTTAAATGGATTCAACAGGTGACATCTGGTACCAGCTGCCCTCAAATAATAACCTTATATACACCTCTTTGTTTCCTTAGCATCTGACATATAGCGGGATTCTCACTTCCCTCTAATGTAATTAGCACATTGAATCCCTTCCTAAAGATAGTGAATCCCCACCAATCCCTAAAAAAATGTCCAAATCTTTAGTATTGGCTTACAAAACCTTTGTAATCTGGTCTTATTTTATTTGCCCTCACATTCTGGCCACATTTCACTACTTGAGGTTCTCCAAATATCCTTTACTCTTGCTGTGATGATGCCATCATTTCCTTTGCTTAGATTTCTCCATCCCCACCAATAGGAAAACAAAGGCTTACTCCTTCTTTTATACACACTACCATGTACGTGAATGCTAGTATATGCTCACAACATTGTGTTGTCACTGTTTCCTGTATTGACATAAGAGTTTGTATCATAAAAGTTTTATTCATAAAAGTAATATAATCACATTGGAGAAAATATAGGAAATGGAAAAATACAGGGTATATGTGTACATATACAAAACATATTTCATATTTTATAATCTCCATTATCCCCATCTTCACAAAGCCACTGTTATTCTTTTGTTGTATTTCCTTCTAAAATTTTTCATATGGCTATATTTTTACTAGAGTCTGAGTGAATGTATGATATAGCCACTTGCCCTTTAAAACCAAAAGCAACATTATAAGATGGGCATTTTTTCTACTTATGTAGTAGTTACCCTAACCATTATTTTAATGGCTATAAAATATCCCATTGAGTGACTATGTTACAGCATATTATCTAACCTTTCCACTATTGTTGAATGTTTATCTCCCTTCCATCACCCTTTTATTGGCTATTATAAGTAAGAGAGACAGTACCATCTTCAGGTACACATTTACCATATTTTGGATTGGTTTATCTTAGACTAGATTGCCAAGAGTCATCTCAAATTTGGTAGAAAAGAATATTGTTTTAATTTCTCAAAGCATTCATAATGCAAAATATTTTTCCTATCCATTATTTGTCTCAGCTTCTGTGAATTGTCCATGTCTTTTGATCATTTAATCTAAATATTCATGCTAAACTAATTAGAAAAGATTTTTAAACCTTTTGTTGTATTTGCTATAACTATTTTTGCCTCTTTATTTTGCTAAAATTTTTAGCTGTAAAAGTAATAAAATATCATTGCATAAATTTTGAAAATAGAGAAAAAAAATTTTTAAATCATGAAAAATCTTGCCATCATAAGATTATCATCATCATTCCCAGTGCTTTTTTCTCTTACGTGTGTGTTTTACAAAGTGATAATTTCAATGTACATACAATTTTAAGACCTAGTTTTTTATTAACACACATCAAATATTTCTCTGAAATACCTTATAATCTTAATAATCATTAAAAGTAATAGTACAGGGTTGGGGGTGTACCTCAGTGGTAGTGTGTACTTAGCATACATGGGGCCTTAGGTTCAATTCCCAGTACCCAAATACACATGCACATAAAAACAAAACAAAAATGATAGCACAATATTCCATGGATTAGATTCACCATTTGCTTATTGCTAAACATTAATGTTATTTCATTTTTTAAAAAAATATTTTAGTTGTTGATGGACCTTTATTTTATTCATTTATATGGGGTGCTGAGACTTGAACCCAGTTCCTCACATATGCTATGCAAGCACTCTATCACTGAGCTATAACCACAGCCTCAATGTTATTTCAATTTAAAATTTTTTAGGTTATCCTATATGAAAATATTTTTCCATATTTTGAATTATTATCTTTAGGAATATTCCCAGAAGTAGGATTACTAGATCAAAGGACATTAATACATGTTGGCTGCCAAAATGCTTTCTTAAGAAGTTGATCAAACCATAATTGACCAGTAGACTGAGTACCATCTTTTTCATTTCTGTTAAATTCAGACTAAAAAAGAGGCTTAACTAGTTGTTCTAATTTGCATTTCTTTAATTAGTAGTGATGAATATTTTCCCATGTTTTCCAGTTGTACTTAAACTTTTCTGTAAATTATCTATACATATTTTTTGTTCATATTTTTTCTTATACATTATACTGTGTTGAAGGCCATAGATAATATAAACCCCATGCTTTGTCATATTTATGTCACAGAGGCTTTTTCAGTCTGTTTAGATTTTATTTTTAAAATGGTTCAAAAACTTTAAAAAGTAATACTGGTTTTAAAATTTTATACAGTCAGCTTGGATCTTTTCCTTTGAGAATATTCTCCATTACTTCCTAAGCTTAGAAAATGAGTCCCTGTTAGAAGCTTGATAAATATTCATTCATTTCAGTTTTTATAATCAGCTTTTTTATATTTAACTCTTCAATCCAACTGCCACTTATGTTAGCTTATTATGGGGATGAGGGTATAAATTCTTCAAGCTGTCACAATATTATTTATGAACAATCATTTCTATTCTCATTCACTTGCAATTCATCTTTTATAATAAACTCTTACATATTACCTGTCTAATCTAATATTAGTGGTATCAGTGTTTTCGTTATTCTAGTTGTGTATGTTTAATATCTACTAGCATTCATTCTTTATTACTTTCCTTTTACAGAATTTTCTTTGAAAATCACTTATTTAATTTTCAAATGAAATCATTTGCTGTCTTATCCCTAAGATATGAATTTCTTGAGGGCAGGATTGTTGATTTTCTTAGAACATATTGCCAAGAATCTTGTTACTAGGTCAACAGTTAAAAACATTTTTTTCTAAACTTAACACTTCCAAAGTTTCCCAAAGGGTTGGGCCACTTTCCTTATAATCCTACTAGCACCTGGATATATTTGTTACAAAGTTTTTTTCAAACTTGGTAGGGGAAAAATATACGTTGCTTCAGTTTCTACATATTTGCTTATTAGCAATGATAAACATATGCTTAAAATATAGTAAGATTTTAATCAATGCTTATTCAATGAATAAATGGCATATACGAATTTGTACCTATATTTGAGGACGAAGAGGTTTAAACAAATATTGTGATTATAATAGGGAAGTGCTGGTTAAATGTAAGCTTGTTGGCCTGTAGTCCATCTTCAGAGATGTTCTAGAGGTGTCAAGAACACCCTGGAATTCAGACCTGAACTGAGGCAATCCCTAGAAACTCAGTAATTTACATTCATTGCAGGCATGTTTCCAGGCAGGATCAGCTGAAAGGACCGGTCAGAAGATGCCTGAAACAGTTAAGATAATGATATGTGGGTATGCTCAAACGTGCACACAGCTCAGACAGACATGAGTGGCTCAAGATAGTGTGTGTCGTTTGGCAGCAAAACAGTAGTAAGAAGTGGCAGGTGTCTGAGACTCCGCTGCACACTGACCCAGGTCCTAGCAGGCCTTCTGTCATGTATTTAAATATATGAGAAACTAGATCTGACTTTGAGGTGCGTGTGTTTTCTATGATACCACACCACTCTTATTCCCCATTCACTAAGCCCAAGAGGACATTAAAGTCCTTAATTCAGAGAAACTTGGGTATCTCCTTTCACTGTGCAACATGAAGGAGAAGAGAGTCATTTTTTTTTTCTCCTAGGGATCATCATCTTTATTTTGAACTTGAAAAAAATAAAACTAAAGCTAACAAATTGGAGGCTGTTTTTCTTTGTTTTTTAAGACCATGTAAAATGTATTATTAAGCATGGGTCCTCCCTTTTGCCTCAGTAGTACATTCTAGTACTGATCTTTTTCAAGGTCTTCCTTTGTCATGAAATCTGTCAATTTGATCAAAATAATAGCATATTACTATCTTAACCTGTATATGCTAAAATTGTGCCATGTTTTCTTCTGGAAAAACAAATGCTATTTGCTTTTGACTCCATTGTACCTAAGAGTAACAAGGCCATGGTTGGTTGCATGAACAATTGATTTGTGAATGACACATTGGCAGTCACTACCACAGCTGCTTCCTTTTACTCAGCAGATTGATACATTCAGTTTTAAAAGTCCTTCTCCCCCAATGTGTACTAAGTACTATTGAGAAAGCAAACAAGACACCAAATGCTGAAGGCCCAGCAGTTCTCATCAGACACAGTATCACTATCTGAATTGTTAACAGAAAACTCCAAAAAGATTTTTCCTCTAACCCCAAGGAGCACCTAAGAAGAGTCATTTCACAAGCCTTTTCTCCTTAGAGAAACATCTAACTGTACATTGACTCTTACTTTAGAGTTGGCAACCATAAGCCTCCTTCTAAGTTCTTCAGCTCTTTGTTCTAAATCTGTTCTCATCAATTCTTTACCTATTCAAAAATCTATTTGCCATGCCTATAAAGAATTAGTTCTAAAATGCAACCCTCCCAAGACCTCCATGATTAATTTTCCCCTGCTAAGTCTCTTCAGCTCATACATATTATCCACTGGTACCATAATTGCTGGTGTTCTGTGATTATTCTAATTTTGTTAATTTTTTTCTAGAGAATAAGACAGTTGACACAGGGAATTTCTAGAAAGCTGAAGAGGAATTTAGAGACTGTCCAATTATATCCTTTGCCCTGCCTGTTTTATTGAGGAAGAAACTGAGGCCTAGAAGAGGTTAATTTGTCCCACTTAGTCAGCCAAAGTAGCAGAAAAAACTAGGTGTAGGGTCCAGGTGACCTGACTTTTGATAGTGTACTTTCCATTACATTAGGTCATCTTCTATTTTACTTGCATCTGTTCAGAGTTCCTTGTAAAGTACTAGATATACACATTTCTCAGTAAACATCAATATGATAATCAGAAGAGTTTACATAACTGAGAAATTGACTCAAAGAAAGGGTGAGAGAGCAGAAAGGTAATTTCCTTACTTCTTTGCATGATGCCATCCACCAGACCAGTTAATGGCTACTTTGCACATCCCATCAATCAGGCACTGGGCAGCTGTCATTGTAGCCCCTCCTACAGCTGCTGCATAGTCAAATATCCCTTCAGTGGCTGGACAGTCATAACCTGAGAGCAAATATCAGAAGAATTAATTAAAGATGAACTGGAGGAAGAGGGGGAATAGGTTGAGGTGTGATAACAAGAGTCTTCTAAAAAACTACTGTGCTAACACTAGCTCCAACTCAGATAGCAACATTTCTAGTATTGGGAAGAAAAGAGCTTAAGATGTGAGAGCTAGAAAGGATAAATCTTCATCTTAAAGATGGTGAAACCAAGATCTGAGAGATGATATACTTTGCCAGTGTTTACACAGAATCAGGCCTAGGACTCAGGTCTTTTGTTCATGCATTCAGTATCTTACCCAAGCTGTTTTCTTTAGATTATTCCATTGACTGCTTAAAGTTTTAAAAATGAGGGTTAGAGTGGAAAACTTAACCAGAACTTCAGTCTGTACTCAAAATATAAGGTTATGGGGCAACTAAATTGGTATATATACAGCCAAACTAAGATCTGAGTGCTGCCAGTAGGGCCACAGCAACTGAAAGATTTCTCCTCCAAGTGACCCATCATTCAGTTTGTTTGTTTTGGTAACTGAGGATTGAACTCAGGGGCATGTAACCACTGAGCAACATCACCAGTCCTATTTTGTATTTTATTTAGAGACAGGGTCTCACTGAGTTGCTTAGCGCCTTGCTTTTGCTGAGGCTGGCTTTCAACTTGTGATCCTCCTGCCTCAGCCTCCTGAGCCACTGGGATTACTTACAGGTTTGTGTTCAACTTGTATGGTTTGCATGGTTAGTGAGTTTTATGAGGGCGAAACCAAAAGAATAAAATAGACAGCTGGGGTTGGGTGTGTAGCTCAGTGGCAGATCACTTGCCTAGCATGTTCAAGGCCCTGAGTTTAATACCCAGAATTGGAAAAAAAGGGCAGTTACATTATTTCTTAATTAAAAAGTATTAGAACCATTAAGTAAATTAAAAATTAGGTAATACAATCTACAGATGGAAGCTGTAAATCTCCCATCATTGCATGATAGGGACTTTACCTAGCCCATATTCTATGGAGTCCGGATGATCCTCATCTCCTTCTTGGCTCACTTTTTGGAGATGCTGCAGATAGGCATCGGTGTGGAATGTAGCCATCTCCTCCATGGAGGCCACTTTGGGTTTCACTATCCTAATAATAACAGATAGAACAAAGAGAGGTGAATGAGTCAGACCCAGAGTTATGCCAAAAGCTGGAAACAGGAGCCAGCAGTCTGAGTAAAAGTACAACTCCCAGGTTCTATTTCCAGTGGGCTGAAGTAATAAATATATTCTGCTCCTCCACTGCACTATACAGTCTTCACTTCCTCACCTCTATAGTGATGGCTCCATCAATAAGGGGCGAGAGGACAGATCTTTCCCCCTTGAGTTTATATGTAGGAAAAAATAAGGAAATAAGTTATTTAAATAAAAAAAATATTTAAGTTAAGCAAATAATCAGGGATCAAACTTTACTCTGTGAGTTACAACTTTCATGCAAACCAGTTGGCAGAGATATTTTCATTTGAATCAGTTGCTAATTGGGCTATATAGTCCCCTCAGTCAGAGATTTATTTATTTATATTGGTTTTGGTGCTGGGTATGGAACTCATGGTCCTGCATATACTAACCACATGCTCTACCACTGAGCTATACCACCAGCCCTATATATTTATTTTAATATGCAACTACATCATCATGCATTTTGAATTTGGACTCTGAGAACTGGGTTCATGTTCTAACTCTGTATTTACTAGCTCTATATCCTTGGGTAACTTTCTGTTCCACACCTCAGTTGCCTCATTTCTGAAAAAGGGAGCCTTACAGGATTTATGTGGAGATGAAATAACATGCAAAAGTTCTTTTGGATAACTCATCAATATTATGGGATAAAGAATAGGGAACTCAAAATATATATATTTTTTTCTATACTAGGTCTCTCATATCTGCTTCTGAGAGAAAATATGGGAAGGGACAAAATAGTTAGAACTGGGCTTCATGCAAAACCTCTCAACCTCCTCCTCGCAGGAAGTGACAAACAGGAGTGAATGGGAGAATAATGGGAGCTAGTCTGGCAATGGGATTTACCTGTAATCACTAGCTGTCCATTTCCCATTTCCTCTTCATGACCCTACTTGCTGCTAAATTCTCTAGCCCTTCCCACCAAAAGGGTGCTCTGTGAACCACCAATATCAATAGCCCCTGGGAGCTTATGAGGAATGCAGAACTTCAGTCTCACCCCAGACCTAGTGAATCAGAATTTGTATTTTAACAAGATGATATATCTTAACAAGGTGACTCATGTGAACATTCAAGTTGAAGGAGTAGTGACCTGAATCAGAGAGAAGCAGTCATGGCTTTTTATGTTTGCTGAATGGGAGCAGGGCCATGAGCTCATCATGAATTCATATGACTAGTACTAGTCAAGCTACTAGTATAATCACGTATGGCCAAGAGAAATCCTATGGTCTTGCCTTAAAAATTAAATATATTACCAAAATCCAAGGGTTGTTACTTGTTCTTCAAGAAAATATGTCTATACCATCAGAGATAAAAATTTGCCCATTAAAATAAATTATTTTGTAATTTCTTTGACCATGTTTTTCATCCGTAATAGTTCCCTCTTATAGTACCCCTCCAATTTATTTTGTTAAATATTAAAGTATAAAACTACTTACCGGAAGCCTCACAAGTTAAAAGGAAATTAGATAACTTTGCTTTGCTATGTTGCTTGTAATAAAATCATTTTTGAAATGTTAAATAATTTTAATGAAAAGGCTATAACTATTTACCAAACATGTACTAAATGATGGTTGAAAAACATTCCCAAAACAGGTATGCAAGAAATTATTTTTTTGCAGGCATGGTGGTATATATCTGTAATTCAAATGACTTGGGAGGCTGAGGCAAGAGGATCAAAAGTTTGAGGCCAGCCTCAGCAACTTAGCAAGGCCCTAAGCAACTTAGTGAAACCTATCTTGAAATAAAAAAAAAAAAATTAAAAAGGTTTGGAAATGTGGTTCAGTAGTAAAGCATCCCTAGGTTCAATCTCCAGTACCCTTCCCCTCAAAAGAGAAATGATTAAAACTAAAATCCTACCACACTACCTTCTGGGAGATAGATGAAGTACAGCACACTGGATATAGATACCGATTTGGCCATAAAATGTCATAAATAATCCTACATGTGGCAAGTCCATAATAGTTACACTTGCAATGACATCAAATATAGAACTGGCAATAAGCATCAAGCTTTTTTTTTTTTTTTCCAAAGAAGCTTTTAGCTCTCTTCTGAGGTCTGGCCTGGTCTCAGCAGTTCTGGCTGTGTGTTCACTTTGTCTCCAAGTTCATCCATTAAAGTTTGATGGTGGCAGCGGCATGCCTAAAAGTTATAAGTTGAACCCACATCCTCAGATTTGGCTTAGGGAAAAACAAAACAAATAAACTAAAAACCAAAACCAAGACAAAACAAAATCAGAATACCTTCCAGCTGAACACATTTTTCTTTATCTTTTCTCCTCTCCCACTGGCCCCCTCTCTCAGTAGTAGGGATTGAACCTAGGGGCACTCTATCTCTGAATTATATCTTCAATCCTTTCTTCTCTTTTTTCTTTTAAATCTTGAGACAGAGTCTCTTTAAGTTGCCCAGGCTGGCCTTCAGCTTGCAAACCTCCTGTTTCAGCATCCTGAGCCATTGGAATTACAAACCTGTGTGGCCACATCCAGTTGGTTCCTTTTTCTGTTAGACATGTTTTAGTAGCCAAATGTACTCATCTCAAACTCCACAAAGCACCTATCACACCCAGCAATAAAGTCCTATTTCTAATGAGTCTTAACTACTTCCAAGCATTTTTTTCAAAATTTCTTAACTCTTCATGAACTTTTCCAAGGTTATAGGGGGATTACACACACATATTCTCTCTCTCTCTCTCTCTCTCTCTCTCTCTCTCTCTCTCTCTCTCTCACACACACACACACACACAACTTTTAAAAAGCACCATTTTCTACCTAGTTACCTCCATCGTGAAGCAGGGCATTAAGGGTATGATCACATAGCTTCAGGGATGAGGATGTTCAAGAAGGACAACTTACCTCATTTGCTTATGCAGTGCATATGCTTCAATCAGAGAATGTACCATACTGGCCTAAAAATATCAGCATAAAACAGTCTCTTAAAAATTTAATTCGGTGAAATCCCATCAACTCTCTTTCTTTCTGTTTGGCTCTCTTTCTTTCTGTTACTTAACAGTTACGATACACTTTAGACAATACAGATACAAAGTATCAAATCGCCAAGACAGAAGCTGTCGGGCCTTATGCAAGTGATAGAACACTTTTCTCCATCAGCTTCTTTTCCAAGACTTAAGGGAATCCCATTGTAATTCAAACTCCATCCCCTCAGTCCCCTCCCCCCACCCTCACCCCACCCCCCACCAGTGTCTGTTGGATGCCCCGCAGAGACACGCTGCACTCTTAGAAACCATACAGGATCACTTCCTCTTTATAGCTTTAGGTACCCGACACAAAATCTCTATAAAGATATTCCTCAGTTCGGTATCCTTTGCTTCCTAATGCCCTCTTGTCCAGACCCCTATCCTCTGCTCCCCAAACCCACGGTGGTCTTTCAGTCTGACTTCTCTTACCCGTTTGGGGACCTTGGCCAGGGAGTCACACAAGCTGACATACTCCGGACTGTAGATGTAAACTGGAGGTAGCGACTGCCCACCATCTGCCGGCTCCTCTGGCTCCTCCATCTTCCACTTCCAACCGTTTCGGAGCCACGGTCCGGATCTGGCTTTTTTGGGACTCAGCCCGGGCTCTGGTTCCTGCTCCTCTGAACGGCCGCAGTGGTGTTCCCTGGTCAACATTCCCTCCTATTCTTGAGATCACAGGAGACACTGTCCCTGCTACCCATCCAATTGAGGGAATAGATAGACTCTCTCAGTCCAGAAGCCCTTCATTTAGTGACCACAGCTCAAAAAAGGATGTTTGGTAGATATAAAAGCCCAAATAATTGTTAAATAGGATCGATTGTTTTTTTATGGCACAAATAAGTACTGTCAAAACTAACCACCCTTGTTGCCCTACGGAACCATTTGAGATGAGGTCAGACTCGTTTCAGAGCATGCTGGGAGGTGTAGTTTTCAGGGGGTTGAGCAGCGGAAGAGCTGGGGCTAATCCTTAAAAGAGCCGCGTATTTGAGTTTTAGCGCTTAAAAAAAAAATGCAGCCTCAACTCTTTATGAGTCGTTTCAATCTGAAAATAGAGCTGTTTAAATATATCTAAAGATAGATAGAGTGTGACCACCTAGAGCCCACCATCAACCACCTATTCTAAAGATGGGCTTTTGGGTGGGGGATTAATGGTATAAATGGTCTGAAAAGTTTACATAGTAAATTCTGTGAAGCAATTTTAGTTTCATTGCTTTTCATAATTGTCCATGTAAGATTAACAGTTTCAATAATTTATCCTGGCAAATCTGTTAGCACTTTCCCAAGAGACTAGCTGGTACTGTGGAAATTGCTTAGTAGATTCCAATCAAGCAATAATGTCAAATGTACTCCTTGAACATTCATGTGATAGGAAGGATGCACGAAGATGCTTTCAGTGGTTATTGGAAATTGCACCTTTTTTTCCCTGCCTCCTTTGACTTCTATAGTTAAATAAAGGTTAGGGAAATGTTTTAGATTTGGTGTGTGGGTTCAGTTAGATATGCTGAGGCAGTGTTAGAATTGCCATTGGCATTTTCAGGTTCCTGAATGTCCTCATGATCTGATACAAGGTGGGCCAATGCTCAGGCCTCCAATTCTTAGTGAAATGACCTACTAATACCCCAGAGACCATCCAATATCCATACCTTCTTTAAAAGTCTAGATTGAGGGGCTACAGTTGTAGCTCAGTGGGTAGAACCTAGCATTATACCTCTAATTAATTAATTAATTAATTAGAGGTATAAGAATACAGCAATGTTAAAAAATCTAGCTTGCTCTTTACTCTTTAAACGTTTATAGAACATTGTGATATGTACTTTGTGGAAATATTATCGCCTTTTATCCTTGAAACAGTCCTATAAAGGAGGTTGTAATATGCCCACTTTACAGATTCAATTTGAAGAGAGAAAAATCACTGTTCAAAGTCACACTTAATGAGCGGAAAACCAGGAATTCAAAACCAGAATTACCTTACACTGAAACTTTGAACATTCCTTATACTATATAAACTTGATTCTTCTGGGATAACTTTGTGTTACATATAACTTTGTTCAACTCTCCCATTTTGTATCCCCTCAATATTTAGTACTCTGGAAAATGTGTGTGTGTGTGTGTGTGTGTGTGTGTGTGAGAGAGAGAGAGAGAGAGAGAGAGAGAGAGAGAGAGAGAGAGAGAGAGATGTATTACCCTCTAACTAGAATGTAAGCTCTTATGCCTCTTTTATATCTTCCTATAGCAACTATTTCAAAGTTTGTAATCATTCATTCATCAAATATGTGTCCCACAGCAATTAATTGTACAGTGCAGCTGTGGATTCAAAGATGAATTACAATCTGCTTTCCACTCTCAATAAATCTGCATTCTTATAGAAAAGATGAGACAATGTCCAAGAAACCATATGCCATATGATCAGATAATGAATGTAGGATGTTTACCTTAATAAATAAGCAATAAGTACTTAATAATTGGCATTCACTAAATGACAAGTGGGATTCTTACTCAGTGGAATTTGAGAAGGTTTTAGAGGTCTTAGAAGACTTTGCTCAGTGAAGACAGGAGCCAGAGGAGAGCATGCTGACTAGAAATGACCAACATACACAAAAATACAAAGGAAAAATGTGAATTTAATTAAGTGGCCAAATCATGAAGGGCTAAAGAATACAAACTTCATTCTGTTGGAAATGGGGAGCAATTTAGACAGAATTATTTTTTTTCAATGCTGGAATCAAATCCAGGGCCTTGTGCATGCCAGGCAAATGGCTCTACTAACTAGCTACACACCCAACCCCTTAGATAGAAATCTTAAAAAAAATTTCTACAGAAGTGCATAGGGCAGATTAGTCATTGAAAAACTAGAGGAGTGAGTGTCCCAACTTTCCTGATAAGAAGTGATAATGATTTAAACTGGGAGGGGCAGCAATAGAAACAGGGAGAGATAATGCACAAGGTAGGTTCAATAGGACTTCCTTATTACTTGGATATTGGTGAGAGGGAGGAAGATTAAAAGACAGTCACTGGAAAATTAGAGTCTGAGTGAAGAGAAGTCTAATAGTACCAATAAATGAAAGAGCTTAGGGCTGGGGCTGTAGCTCAGTGAAAGAGCATATGCTTAGCATAAATGACACCCTGGGTTCTATCCCTAGCACATACAAAAATATGTAAAAAAAAACAAAAACAAGACAAACACACACACACACACACACACACACACACACACACATATCAAAACAAAACACCAAGCAGAACAGACATGAGTGTGATTTTATAATTATTAAAAAGTTTTGATGGGACTCGGATTGTGGCTCAGCGGTAGAGCGCTCGCCTACCACGTGCGAGGCCCTGGGCTCGATCCTCAGCACCACATCAAAATAAAGATATTGTGTTCAACTACAACTAAAAAATAAATATATAAAAATATGACAAAGCTGCATATTAGCCACCAATATTGTCTAATATATACACTATAGCCACAACACATTAAAAAAAAAGTTTCACAAATCAATGGGTCAAACAGTTGCAGTGACACACACACATATATTTTTTCACATAAATAGGAGATAGAGGAATTAATAAGAGTATCTGACATACCAAGAGAATATTGCTTTCTTCACTGGGATGCATAATAGTTATAAATATAAAATTTAACATTTTCAAAACCAGAACCCCGATTTCCCCATTCTAGTCCTCTCCACCCCTTTCCTATTTTGCATGACTCAATAAAAATACCAACCTCTATCCAATTGCCTAAGCAGGAAATACAGGAGTTATTTGTGTTCCTTCCTTTTCCTTCACCTGTAGATCCAGTCTGTCAGCAATTTTTCAGTTCTACTTATAAGGTATGCCTTAAATACACCCACTTTCCTCACTCTGCACAGCCACTATCCTAGTCTGGGTACTATGATGTCACCACTGAATTTTCTTCAACATCCATCTGATCTCCACTTTTACTCTTTTGGCCCTACCATCTGTGTAGCCACCAAGAGTGTGCTTCTCTCTTTCTTAAAAAAGAATAAACTGTATCATGTCATTAAAACCTGTCTCAAGCCATGGTGAGAATCTTTGAGCTAAGAAGGAATTTTTGAAGATTCCTATTTGTGAGGATTCTGAGGAGGAAAAAAATGCTAGAAAGGAGACTAAAAAGAATTAGTCAAGTAAGAACAAATGTAGTACAGTTTCACAGAAATCACAGGATGAGAGGGTTTCAAGACGGAAGAGAAATAACAATGTCTCATGTATTGCACAAGGGTTGAAGATGCTGCCAGAAGCTCACCGGTGCCCTGTGTGTGTGGAGGGAAGAATCAAAAAACAGAAAACAAAACAAGAAACAACAAGAAAAAGAAAGAAAGAAGAGAAAGAAACACAGGCAGTAGAAGAGGAAGCCAGATCATAAGAGGTTAAGAGATGAAGCCAACTTGGTAAAGTGCAGCTTCCTTTTCAAAGAAATGTGATTGTGAAAGAAATTAGTCTATCCACCTAAGGGGTTATTAGAGCCCAGGATTTTTTTTTTTTTTTTAAGCTTAGAGAACTGCACGTGTTTGTAGTCAGAGGAGAAGGTGTCTAAGTGGCTGTAACAGTTGATTGAAAGGTAAAATCATGACAGTCTGGCAGTGTAAGGAGGAAATGAAACTTATCCTGAGCCTTTAGGGATAAGCCGTGGAGGGAACAGGATGGGATACAGACTGACTGACATCCTTAATTCTAATCAGATGACATGGAAATGGACTGTTTCCAGTGTTCTTTCAGATCTAGCAACAGATAGCCAAACACTTCAACACATGAGCATTGCTTCTAAACTGGAAACAGTATCCTTGTATAGAACACAATGTGGCAAAATGATTCAATTCTAGAGAAAGATAAATTGTTGCACAATGCTCTGGAATTGGCAGCTTATTCCTGTAGCAAATCTATCCTTGTTTATAATTAAGACAGAACCCATATAATGCCACGGATCTCTAGCCTCAATTTTTGACACAATTACCGCCACTATTGTCCTTGAATTGGGAAGAAAACCCTTCCCAAAGCATTGGATTTGCAGTTGGAGGATGAGGTCAGAGGAAGTAGGTGAATCTTGGCTTCACAGTTTGCTCTGGTGATGACCCTGTGTAAGCTACTTCATTCACTTTCTTCAAGCATTATTGTTAAAGGTAATGTTTAAAACCAGCAAGGATAGGAGCTGGGGTTGTGGCTTAGCGGTAGAATGCTCGCCTCGCACATGCAACACCCTGGGTTTGATCCTCAACACCACATATAAATAAATAAATAAATGTATTGTGTTAACTACAACTAAAAACAAACAAACAAACAAAAAACCAGCAAGGATAGGTTAGGCTGTGCCACTTCTTTTGGCACTCTCCCCTGCCTTCACTAGCTGGCAGAAGCAGGCAGAAAGGAAAGCACACACATTAGGGTGCTATCCCTTTGGCCAACTTCTTTAATCATTTCACAATTTGTCCACTAATACTTCAACACACTGACCCTTTTTTTCACACCACCTCCTAAAGTCTTTGCTTGGATAATATAGCTCTTAAAAATGTGAACTCTAGAGTCTGACTGCAAGGGTTCAAATTCCAGTTCTACCACCCATTAGCTGACTGACCTTGGACAATTTGCTTCAACTCTCAGAGTCTCTGTTCCCTTATTCGTAAGATAGGAACAGCATAATATTTACCTTTCATTGTGACTGTGAAGGTAAGATCAGTACCTATATAGCAATGTTGGGCATTTGGTAAGCACTCAAACATTGGTCGTTTTAAGAATCATGTCATATATTTTTGGAAAGTTTCCTCCCACTGTTATGTTTACATCCATGCCACTACTGAAAGAGTACTACTACTACTGGTTTCAGAAAGTACTACTGGTTTGAGAATGGGTCCTTGGCTTGGAAATCAGACTTCTGCTAAATATAGGGTGAACATATTATCCAAACTGGGACACTTTTAAAGGTGACAGATAATACTAATGCTAATTATGCCAGGAAAACAGGGATAAATAGATGATATACTGGACAAACCAAGACCTGAGATCACTCAAGTTAAATAAAAAATGAAGACCAGCCATGAAAATACTGTATTTATATCCACTGCATTAGTACAGACACCAGGTACTGGGTAAGCAAAAATATGGTTGGGAGAGGTGTTGTGAACTATGACAACTTTTGTCCCACCAGTTGTATAAAATTCCCAGAATGTAGCAAAACCTAATTAACCAGAATGGAACTATACAGACAATACTCATCCTTGCTGAATAAACCCCTCTTCTTATAGAAATGGCTAATGAATATCATAAATTATATTATGCCAAATGTTTATAATACTTAGAAGAACAAACTGTTCTAAGTACCCTCTAGTAGTGCAGAAGCACCATTTGTACACAATTGAAATGCTGAGTAATTAGCTGTCTTATGTCTTCACCAGAACAGATTCCCTAGAAACCTGTTTGAATGTAGTAAGCCTAGTTTGAGTGTGTGTTTGAACAACAAAACCGTGTTTCTTTACATATATTATCTAACATATATGTATTAGTATTAATATTATTCTAATTTGACCCAATTAATGAGTTTTAATTGTATTGTATAATTAAAATATGTAAAATAAAACCATTAAATAATCTCCAATCACAAAAACACATATCAAGTTTTGTGCATTGATATCAGATATTATTTAATTGGAAATTCTTATTCTATTTTCAAAACACAAGTGCTTTTAAAAAAAAAGTCTAACATGTTTTTTTAGTATCACACACCTAAAATGAACAAAACATCAGAAGAGTTTTCTGAAATTTTCCTTTAAAAGTTAAATGCATCTGTCTAGGGATCATAGTGATATACAACTTAGAAAACCAAGAGAAATGCAGCCATCAGTGTCCATTCAGAGAAATGAGTGCAAGAAGGAGTGGTGGCTTTTGCCTCTGACACTCTAGATATACTTCCTGTGACTGGGGTACACTTTCAGCTAGTGAAAAGACAAATGATTTCAGAACAGGTTGTACTTTTCTTTAAAGGTAACCAGAAAAATCAAAAAGCTACTAACTGTGTGTTTCCATTTGTTGGGAGAGAGGCACTGAAAGGTGGACCATACTCTCTTTGTTTCCACCATCTGTTTTCTATCACTCTACTGTGCTCACTTATTCCATATACTTACAAAATGAAGTGTTTAGAATCTCCCATCCCCACCTTCCCCATTCATGTTCTTGGAGAAAACTCTTAAAATATGAGGGAATGAAGGGGACTGAAGTAGGGAATTGTCTGAATGCAAATGGAAATTAGTAGGGTTTTGCCAGCAAATCAGGAGAAGGAAAATTATGAGAAATCTTTATCAAGCTAGGCTAACTACACATAGGCTCAGACAAAAGGATTGAAGTTGTTTTTAATCTACTGAGTTGTGTCATCGTGAGACCAGTCATGCCCTCTCTCACATGTGACATTCATACTTACATGCTTACTTGGTCTGCTAAATGTAGATATAGGATAAGATGTACAGGTATATCAAAACTATTTCCATACTATTTTACTAATTATACATATATACATGCACACATACATACATAGAGATGTTCATAAGAAACAGATATATGCCCATAGATACCAAGATATATAGGGACATGAGAACTTTAATTAGAAAGTAAAATTATAAGTGAAAGATTTTAAGAATGGATGCAGGGCAGGGAGTTGAGAGGGGCTGGTTGGATGTGGCAAATGTGAGTAGACAAGTGAGGCAGAGACTAAGAACACAAGAGGAGGATGCTTGGAAAAACAGCTATAGATTGGACTGTTGGATTCCTCTTTGCTGAAGACAGGCTCAAATTACTCTCTTGGCCCCCTCTTCAGAGGCAAGGAGTTGGTGCACAAGGCTGTCTGTAGGGAACCAACCCACATCTGATGTCCTCTCAACTCCCCATGTGTAAGACACTGCCCAGGTGTCTTCCCTCCTTTCCCTTCTCTTTGGAATTGGGGTACCGATTCCATTTGTCTGGGTTATTCCACATGTTCTGCTACAAGCACATCTCTGAGTAACAGCAATCTCCATAAAATGTGGTTTCAAATGTTAATACAGAAATCCTTCAATGTACATGCTGTGCATGCTTTTTAAAAATATTTTACCAATGTAAGAATAGGCTATGTGTACAGGTACCAACAGGACAACAGGAGAGACAGTAATTCTATGCAGAATACTTCATCAGTGTGAGAAAACATGTGAGTGAAAAAGAACCCAACTGATCTGGTACTCTATTTTCCTAATAAAAGGCACTTAGAATAGATATTTTCAATTTACAGCAGTGTAAAATCTAACAATTTAGTCTACTCACTGGAAAGAATGTCCCAAAGCATCCACCACTCATATATACAATAAAACCACACATAAGAAAAAACAAACTTTAGGAATAAGTTATTATTAATATCTGCTCCTGAAACAGGAGTTAGAAAACTAAGCTGGCAATAGATCTATAGAATAAAAACACATGCAAACTTTTATGAACCATGAAAGAATTGACAATAATTGAAAGGTTTTGTTGAGCAGATGCACTGGAGGTGAGACTCCAGGTAAGGGTTCACTTCTTCTAAAGCAGTTAGTTTATCAGCAAAGTTCTCTCTTCTTGGGAGGATGGGACAGGAAGGGGCAGGGGGGAGTGATCAGGCATTAACATTTCAGTTCCATGCACAATCAACTGAGACAGGGACCAGCTGTCAAAAGACTCCTAGTAGCCAGGACCCAAAGCCCTCACTGCATGGCACAGATGCTGTGGGGCAGGAACTCTTGCACGTAGGTGGCGGCTGCCTTGGAGAGGTAGGTCATTGTGCCAAACCTGCCACTGGGTGCACTGTCATACAGAAGAGTACAGATGCCAGATGCAGGATCCTTTGCCAACATGTTATCATCTGCGCCGAGGGTTTTCTGTTTGGTTTTTAAGGGTAAGAAAACATAGGGGAAAGGAAAAATTACTAATCCTACTAAGTGAAATCCTGAGTAGTATAACTCAGAGCCTCCTCCCCATCACCAATTAGTTGGTTCCTAAGTTGTTCAGCCAGGAAGGGATCAGGGTTATGCATAAAAGAGTGAATATCAGTTTTTTAGATACGTTTTCACTAGATCTCCAAATTATGGAAGTTATTTAAAATTATTGATTAGAATTTTCCCTATTACAGTGTAGTTTTGAAAGTAATATAGTAATAATCAACTATATGAGTCAGACCTGTTAGTTACAGAGACAAATGTTAACATTCACAAAACACCCTAGTGAGATTTTGGTCTGACACTCTTTAGTACTACTAGTATTCTTTTATCTTGTGTTTAATCATTATTTCTTTCTAAGCCAACTTAATTCAAATAGACCATAAGCTTTCCAAGGCTAGAGTCTATTATTAAAAAGGATCACATTTTCTAACACATTGATTGACATCAATCTAGAATATTTAAAATTAGGACAGTCCTAGAAAATCTTATATATGTTCTTCTGTATCTTCTCACAGTGATTAAGAGAATGAAATACCTATTATGTTTTAGAGATTTCCTGTTGACAACAATCATACCCTTTCACCTTAGGTGCTTCTACTCTTAATCCAGGCAACCTTTGAAATACTTTCAATAAATAGTTTTTATTTTTTACTGTGCTTAATTTCCTGGAAGATTTATTAAGAAAATGTATAAATAAAAGTTTCACTTTAAAGCTTTCCTACAGATAAGTAGTAAAAGAAAAAGCAAAGTAAAACCAAAATCAAATTTTCTCTTTTCCTTAATAGCCCAGAAAGGATTTCTAAACAACTCTAACAATTTTAAGCTGCAAAAAGCATTGTGATCAGGAGTTTGAAATATGATGCTAATGCTATGCTTCAGGCTTTTCAGGGAAAAGCATATTATCTCCTGAGTTCCAGGTAACTTGACCATAAAAAACAAACCACAAAACACATGGGTGAGAAAGGCAGATAAAGGGAGGCTGGAATTGATTGGTACACACTGTATGCATGTATGGAAATATCACATTGAACCTGATTAATATGTATAATTAATATATGTTAATAAAAATCAAATAAAATGGGCTGGGGTTGTAGCTCATTGGTAAAGCACCTGTTTAGCATATGGGGCCCCAGGTTCCATACCCAATACCACTAAGTAAATAAATAAATAGGAAATTTTAAGATAATCTTGAAAGAAAGGAAGAAAGAAACATGACCAAAGACAGAGGTCATCCTGAAGCCCATTTCCTTTGCAAACGCAGTTCAGAGCCACTGAAGGGAACCGAGGAAAGAGCTATGTGGAAGAAGGCACAACCAAGTGATCTTGGCTTTCTGAGGAACCTGGAATGCAGTCAGCTTAGCATCAAAATTCTCCTCTGAGAAAACAACCAGTTTACCTACCTGTTCTTGAAGGAACAAGTCATTGGCAATGTGCACTATTTTTTCCACAGCAATGATGCTTCCGATGCTATGAATTTCAATATCTGCTAGCATGGTGAGGACAAGGATGGCTTCAACCAGAAGCTGGCGATACTCTGGCTGAGGTACACGATTCAGGACAGATTCCACATGGACAGAGAATTTAATCTCACCTGGAGTCATCTGTGACAGAGAAAAAGAAAATTACTTCCGAGGCGCTCACTGCTCAGGTGCCATCAATCACCTGCTTTGAAAGACAGTAAAAACACTGTAGCCATGAGCATGGCTTCAGCCCCCTTAATGTAATAGAGTGAGTAAATTGGTTCAATCTTTTTGGGAGGCAATCTGGCAATGCATAAGGAGAGTCATAAAAGTGTCAATGCCCTCTAACCCATAATCCTATTTCTGGGAGTTCATCCCAAGAAAATAATTCAAAAGAGGAAGAAAGCTCTATGTGCAAGAGTGTTTATAGCAGCATTAGTCACAAGGGTAAAACTAGAAGTAACACAAACATGGAAATGGTTGTATAAATAATAGCATGTCATGGCTTAGAAATGTCATGAGTTTTTATGGAGCCACTTAAATGTGATGATTATGGATAAAGGATAAAGTCAAGCTTAAAACTGCATATATGTGATGATTGGAATTATGTAGAACATCTATATATTGTTAGAATGAAGTGGGCATCAAGAAGTACAAAATTATTTTAGGTGAAGGAGATTCAGGGATAATTTTTGGTAAAATTTTACTGAGTTTGTGATATAGGGAGGCAATATGCCTGAGTTTAAACTCCTGTCTCTGTCTAAAGACTTGGGTTCAATAAAAAATCTTAACACTAAAAAAATCAATAAATAGGCAAAGGAACCAAACAGAACTTATCAAAAGAAGAGATACAAATGGCTAACAAATGTATGAAAAAATGTTCAACATCTCTAGCAATAAAATACAAATTAAAATTACAGAGATTTCACCTCACGCTAGTCAGAATGGCAATTATTAAGAATACAAGTAACAATAAATGGTGGTAAGGATGTGGGGAAAAGGGTACACTCATACATTGTTGGTGGGACTGCACATTGGTATAACCACTCTGGAAAGCAGAATGGAGATTTCTCAAAAAACTAGGATTGGGACCACCATATAACCCAGCTAACCCACTCCTTGGTATATAACCAAAAGAGTTAAAATCAGCATACTACAATGACACAGCCACATCAATGTTTATAGCACCACAATTCACTATAGCTAAGCAATGGAGCCAACCTAGGTGCCCTTCAATAAATGAATGGATAAAGAAAATGTGTTATATTAACACAACAGAATATTACGTAGCCAGAATGATTTTATGACATTTGCCAGTTAAATGGATAGAACTAGAGACTGTCATGCTAAGTGAAATAAGATAGTCCCTCAAAGCCAAATGTGAAAATGTTTTCTCTGATATGTGGAAGCTAATCCAAAATAAGGAGGAAGGAAGATAAAAAGAATAGAAGAAGGCCAGTGGAGTAGACACAGGGGGATGAAGTGAAGGGAGGAGTGGCAGGAATAAGAAAGACAGTGAAATGAATCTGCTACAACTTTCCCAAGAAAATATATGAATATACCACAGTGAATCTCACCACCATGTTTATCCACAAGAAGCTAATTTAAAACAAAACTATAAGTTAATAGTAAAAATATCAGTAGAGTAGAAGATAAGGAATGGGGGAGGGAGAAGGGGAGAGAAAGGGGAAGTACTAGGAACTGAATTAGAACAAATTATATTCCATGTTTTTATGATTTCATCAAAATGAATTCTAATATCATGTATAACTAGAAAGAACCAATAAAGAAAAAAAGACTTGTGTGTAAGTCCTGTCTTGGTCGGTTATGAGTTACATGACCTGGGATTATTAATTTCTCTAATTTATTTTTCTTATTTGTACATTTGGAGTGACCATCCCTTCTTTGGCTATCTTTTGTAGTTGTGTTGAAGATTAAATAATGAGAAAGTGCTTTGAAAACTCTTAAAGGTACTATTCAGCTATGTATTAGTAATAATACTATTAACACTTTAATATTGCTTAAATTCAAAGAAATGGCAAATAGGGAATATGGTGTTCTTTATTATAGAAAGCCCTTTAGGCAATAGTAAAGGCCTGAAGCATTACATTTTTAGTACCAGTGTCCCTAGCTGCTGTTTGCAATAACTCCAGTGTTTTTGAGAATTTCCTAGTGTCTGATTATTTCTAGCTTATTAATATGATTTTGTATAAAAGTTCTTTATAATTTTTTGGTGATTTGAGCGAAAAAGAAAATACAAAAGCATTTAATAATGTATATCTGTGGTCAGTGGCAATATTCTCCAACTATTGTTATATATCAGCATCGTTCTATGGATTTAGAAAAATACATATACTCAGGATCTCTCCCTGGAGATTTTAATCCATAAATTGGAGATGGGAGCCCAGGTTACTCCAAAATACACTTTGAGCTCAAGACTACTAATTGTCTACAAGCATCCTACTAGAGAAAGGTGGGGATGAGAAGAATGGGGGTATATGAGAAGTCACTCATTCTTAGATTTCTATCCCCTCTGACCTCTCCAACTCTCATATAGCCTAAAATAATTAACCATTATGAGAAGTTTTCTTAGATAATTAATATAATACATAATTATTCTCTAATATTCCTATTCAATTTTTAAAAAAATTCTTTCATTTCTTCAAATGCTTTTTGTATTCAGATGACTCATAAAAAGACATAGGTCTGCTACTTTGAAAAGTGATCACTAAAATACTTCAGCCAGCAAAATCACTGAAATGCTTCACCATTATAAATGCAAAAGTCATAGAATCTTACCTCTCTAGTAGTTGAAGAAGGAAGAACAAAACCTTCCACAGAAAGTCCATGACACTGCAAAGCAGAAAACACATGCCATGAGGGATGGGCTAACAAATGGGAGGCTGTAAGAAGACACTTTGTATTTCTTTTTTTTTTTTTTTTAATTTTTTATTGTGGGTTGTTCAAAACATTACAAATTTCTTGACATATCATATTCCACACTTTGATTCTAGTGGGTTATGAACTCCCACCTTCACCCCATACACAGATTGCAGATTCACATCAGTTACACATCCATTGATTTACATATTGCCATACTAGTGTCTGTTGTGCTCCGCTGCCTTTCCCATCATCCACCCTCCCCCCTCCCCACCTCTCCCCTCCCCTCCCCTCCTCTCTCTCTACCCCCTCCACTGTATAACCCTGAGGGTCTCCTTCCATTACCGTGCAATTTACCTTCTCTCTCCCTTTCCCTCCCACCTCTCATCCCTGTTAAATGTTAATCTTCTTCTCCTGTTCTTCGTCCCTACTCTGTTCTTAGTTACTTTCCTTATATCAAAGAAGACATTTGGCATTTGTTTTTTAGGGATTGGCTAGCTTCACTTAGCATAATCTGCTCTAATGCCATCCATTTCCCTGTAAATTCTATGATTTTGTCATTTTTTAATGCAGAGTAATACTCCATTGTGTATAAATGCCACATTTTTTTTATCCATTCGTCTATTGAAGGGCATCTAGGTTGGTTCCACAGTCTTGCTATTGTGAACTGTGCTGCTATGAACATCGATGTAGCAGTGTCCCTGTAGCATGCTCTTTTTAGGTCTTTAGGGAATAGACCAAGAAGGGGAATAGCTGGGTCAAATGGTGGCTCCATTCCCAGCTTTCCAAGAAATCTCCATACTGCTTTCCAAATTGGCTGCACCAATCTGCAGTCCCACCAGCAATGTACAAGTGTACCCTTTTCCCCACATCCTCGCCAGCACTTGTTGTTGTTTGACTTCCTAATGGCTGCCAATCTTACTGGAGTGAGATGGTATCTTAGGGTGGTTTTGATTTGCATTTCTCTGACAGCTAGAGATGTTGAGCATTTTTTCATGTACTTGTTGATTGACTGTATGTCCTCCTCTGTGAAGTGTCTGTTCAGGTCCTTGGCCCATTTGTTGATTGGGTTGTTTGTTCTCTTATTGTCTAATTTTTTGAGTTCTTTGTATACTCTGGATATTAGGGCTCTATCTGAAGTGTGAGGAGTAAAGATTTGTTCCCAGGATGTAGGCTCCCTATTTACCTCTCTTATTGTTTCTTTTGCTGAGAAAAAACTTCTTAGTTTGAGTAAGTCCCATTTGTTGATTCTAGTTATTAACTTTTGTGCTATGGGTGTCCTATTGAGGAATTTGGAGCCCGACCCCACCGACTGTAGATCGTAGCCAACTTTTTCTTCTATCAGACGGCGCGTCTCTGATTTGATATCAAGTTCCTTGATCCATTTTGAATTCACTTTTGTGCATGGCGAGAGAAAGGGATTCAGTTTCATTTTGTTGCATATGGATTTCCAGTTTTCCCAGCACCATTTGTTGAAGATGCTATCCTTCCTCCATTGCATGCTTTTAGCCCCTTTATCAAATATAAGATAGTTGTAGTTTTGTGGATTGGTTTCTGTGTCCTCTATTCTGTACCATTGGTCCACACGCCTGTTTTGGTACCAGTACCATGCTGTTTTTGTTACTATTGCTCTGTAGTATAGTTTGAAGTCTGGTATCGCTATACCGCCTGATTCACACTTCTTGCTTAGCATTGTTTTTGCTATTCTGGGTCTTTTATTTTTCCATATGAATTTCATGATTGCTTTCTCTATTTCTACAAGAAATGCCATTGGGATTTTGATTGGCATTGCATTAAACCTATAGAGAACTTTTGGTAATATCGCCATTTTGATGATGTTAGTTCTGCCTATCCATGAACAGGGTATATTTTTCCATCTTCTAAGATCTTCTTCTATTTCTCTCTTTAGGGTTCTGTAGTTTTCATTGTATAAGTCTTTCACCTCTTTTGTTAGGTTGATTCCCAAGTATTTTATTTTTTTGAAGATATTTTGAATGGAGTGGTTGTCCTCATTTCCATTTCAGAGGATTTGTCGCTGATATACAGGAATGCCTTTGATTTATGCGTGTTGATTTTAAATCCTGCCACTTTGCTGAATTCATTTATTAGCTCTAATAGTTTCTTTGTAGAGCCTTTTGGGTCTGCTAGATATAGAATCATATCATCTGCAAATAGTGATAATTTAATTTCTTCTTTTCCTATTTTTATGCCTTTAATTTCTTTCGTCTGTCTAATTGCTCTGGCCAGTGTTTCGAGAACTATGTTGAAGAGAAGTGGAGAGAGAGGGCATCCCTGTCTTGTTCCAGATTTTAGAGGGAATGCCTTCAGTTTTTCTCCATTCAGAATAATGCTAGCCTGAGGCTTAGCATAGATTGCTTTTACAATATTGAGGTATGTTCCTGTTATCCCTAGTTTTTCTAGAGTTTTGAACATAAAGGGATGCTGTACTTTGTCAAATGCTTTTTCCGCATCTATCGAGATGATCATATGGTTCTTATTTTTAAGTCTATTGATGTGGTGAATAACATTTATTGATTTCCGTATATTGAACCAGCCTTGCATCCCAGGGATGAATCCTACTTGATCATGGTGCACAATTTTTTTGATATGTTTTTGTATCCGATTCGCCAGAATTTTATTGAGGATTTTTGCATCTAGGTTCATTAGAGATATTGGTCTGTAGTTTTCTTTCTTTGAAGTGTCTTTGTCTGGTTTAGGTATCAGGGTGATGTTGGCCTCATAGAATGAATTTGGAAGTTCTCCCTCCTTTTCTATTTCCTGAAGTAGCTTGAAAAGTATTGGTATTAGTTCTTCTTTAAAGGTTTTGTAAAATTCTGCTGTATACCCATCGGGACCTGGGCTTTTCTTAGTTGGTAGTCTTTTGATGGTTTCTTCTATCTCCTCAATTGATATTGGTCTGTTTAGGTTTTCTATATCCTCCTGACTCAATCTGGGCAGATCATATGACTTAAGAAATTTATCTATGCCTTCACTATCTTCTAATTTATTGGAGTATAAGGATTCAAAATAGTTTTTGATTATCTTCTGTATTTCTGAAGTGTCTGTTGTGATATTGCCTTTTTCATCCCGTATGCTAGTAATTTGAGTTCTCTCTCTTCTTCTCTTCACTAGCATCGCTAAGGGTCTGTCGATTTTGTTTATTTTTTCAAAGAACCAACTTTTAGTTTTGTCAATTTTTTCAATTGTTTCTTTTGTTTCGATTTCATTAATTTCAGCTCTGATTTTAATTATTTCTTGCCTTCTACTTCTTTTGCTGTTGTTTTGCTCTTCTTTTTCAAGGATTTTGAGATGAAGTATGAGATCATTTATTTGTTGGTTTTTTCTTTTTTTAAGGAATGAACTCCAAGCAATGAATTTTCCTCTTAGAACTGCTTTCAATGTGTCCCATAGATTCCGATATGTTGTGTCTGTGTTTTCATTTATCTCTAAGAATTTTTTAATT